ACGCTGTCATCAAGAAACACTTTTCAGGGTCCTCACTTATTTGATGCTTCCCTTGCTATAGCAATTCACTATGCCTTTTCTCTGTATGGCTGGCCATACCTTGGCTATACCATGATAGAATTTCGGCTGGCTCACACAAAAATTGGCTCACTTGAAATTCAGCAGTGGGTGACCCTGCTGGCTCCACAGAAATTGGTTACTTGTATGACATTTATCAAAGGAGCCAAACATTTTAGGCCAAATAGTAACTGAAACCAATCATCTTCAGTCAATGTTTATGTGTTCCGATAGTGTTGGCCACCTGCTTTGCCACGAACTCAGTGGGAAATTCATCCATCCATGCTGTTAGTGTGAATACAGGAATCGGTCATTTTATTTTCATTCAGCCCTTAAAAATCTATTAGTGTACGGCCAGCTAAACACTGATGTAGTTTCCGTCACCCTCTGACATTCTGAACAGCCCATACTGCTTTCTTCCTCTCCCATCCTGGCCCACTAGGTTTTCCAGTTGCTGCTTGTGAAGCTTCCAGTACTCTATGAAGGACAATGGGGAACCGGTTGAGTTTTCTCTGCCTATGTGGAGCATCAGATCTCACTGCTGCCACTGATGGTATGCAGTCACTCTGCCACACACAGTTTAGGTTTTGAAGCCTCACAGGCACCAACCGGTCACCTTGATGACATTAGACCAATACAGGGCCCTCTGGCCGCTGACATCTTCATCTGGTAGTCTTCTTGGTATGGGGTCTTTTAGTCTTGTCAGGGTGACTTGGCTCCCACGCATGCAGATTTGCAAGCTTTAATTGCAGGTGCCAGTTCCTCTTGAAGTCATGTTCATAGAACGTGGATTGAAAAGGATGGAAATAATTGAACGTTACTGGTTATTTTATGGGTTCTGGATACAAAAGCTGTGAGACAGAAAACTGACATAACTGAACAGCGGGCAGACGGAATGGAGATTGGTACAGAGTAACTCTGATCTATACATTCTATGGAATTTCATAAGTTCTGAATACCGATGTATATGAGTCACTTTGCAAAACATGTGATGACCAGTTATACAGCTTCTTCTTTTTACTTACTTTTTGCTTAAATATGAAAAATGTGCAGAAAAGAAATGTGCTGATTTTCCAAAGCAACCAATCAGAATCCTTGTTTCATCTTGAAACAACTGGAAGTTGATTGGTTACTATAGGCACTGACTTTTCTTGCTGGCATGCTTCTCTTACATAAACCCTTCTGTGGTTAAAGTGACATTAAACCCTCAGATTTTTTAACATAAAACAATACAGTAATGTGTGCCTTACTGTAATCCATGGTAGTTTCCCTTCTCTTTGCTGCTCTTCCTTTTTAAATCCGTATCTCTTCTCATGCTGGGCAGAACTTCTGTTTTGCAGCAGACTGCCTTGTCTCTGAAATGTATACATGGTGTCTGTGTGAAGGTTCACAACCTGAGCCAGCACTGCAGGAAGAGGCACTCAGCTGCAAAGGGAAGTTCTCCCCCAGCATGAGAACAGATACAGATTTAAAAGGAAGAGCAGCAAAGAGAAAGGAAACAACCATGGATTACAGTAAGGCACACATTACAGTATTGGTTTAGGTTAAAAAATCTGAGGGTTTAACGTCACTTTAAAGCTAAATTCTGTGTAAGTTAAATACACAGGTTCAAGTGACACTACACTCAGGAGTTAAATCTTAAAGATACTTTCAAGTACCTTAACTATTAACAATACTGGAATTTATTTGTGTATCACTCGGCTGTAGATCCTCAAATCATCTCTGAATTGGTGCTGACACTGTCCTTCCTTTTGGTCCCCATGGTCCCTGTGTGTATTGTAAAGTAGTCACTGCTCCAAGCTCGCTCCCGGGATGGACTACAATCTCACGTTTAGTTTACTAATTTGTATAGAGATTGTAGTCCATCCTGGGAGTGAGCTTGGAGCGGTGACTACTTTACAACACACACAGGGACCATGGGCAGCACATTTTGAACACGTTGGGTGAACACTTGTCAAAGTGCGTGCTTTGGTGCAAGTTCATAGAAAAAGTAGGTTTGGGATAAAATGAACATTAAAAACATAATTGAACTTTGTTGTGAAAAAGAAAAATGAGCTATCTTTTATCTGATTGATTCATCGGTAGGGGACAAATAGATTTCTATATAATATGTAACTTCCGTACAGTGTTAGAAAGTAAAGTATGTGTGCACAAAAAGCAGGAGGAAACTTCCAGACTAGAAGCCTTTTGTCGGCTATCGTCCCACTTGACCTATGCCAGCCAATTGAAAGCCAGTTTAGAAGCATGCACATGTAAGGGAATAATGGGATTCTTTATATGATTTAGCTCCTCACACAGTTTAGAGCTGCAGAAAGGCAACTAGGGTCTTTTTACCACTGGTAAGACCCTTGATGGTAGCTATCGAAGGACAGGAAAAAATGGAAGGCCAATGCTTTGTCTGCCGGGATATATAAAATGAGCTAATGTGTGCACTCCTCAGTGATTTGGAAGTAAATGAAATGGGCTTTTCCCATTATTTAAAATATGTTTTCTACTTTTGATATTTTTCCCTTTGTGACGTGCTGACAAATAACTAGTTACTTCACCAGCAATTAAGGGAGGAACAACATGGCCGATGCCTTTTGGTTTTCTATTGGAAAACATTTTCGTCACAAATACACTGAATTTTTCAGGAGGGATGCTAAAAAAACAATCAATCAAAGGCTTCATCCTATTTACAGTAGATCCGATAATCCCCCGTCTGTCACATCCTCCTTGTGGTCACACTTGTGCCTGGTCATCATCTCCACTTCCTTTTTCAGAACAGACATAGAGCTTTGTAATATACTTATACCCTTATGAACTCCTTGGTCAGTGCCCTGCATGGTCTGCAGTTATAACCAGGGCTGCTGATAGGGGGGGTACAGCAAGCATTCCTGTACTGGGCCCGGGCCTCTATAAGGACATCAGGGGTGCCCTTCAGGGGATTCACACAGCTTCTCCCAACGAGAACTTCATGCAATGACTGCAGAGCTTGTCAACTACAAGTGACCCGGCTAGCTGTACTGCCACCCAGATCACTTGTACTAACCTGCGAATGTGCCGCTCTCTCTCTATGGTTTTGGGGTCCTTCGCTTCTCTGGGGGGGGGGAGTCGGGACCATGGCAAATGGTGTCAGGATGGAGAGTGGGAGCAGACCAATCTCCTCTGTGATCAATGAAGCAGGAAGAGCTGTGCTATCAGCGCTTCTTGTTTCAGAGCTGTCACAAACCCAGCTAAAGTGCCGGGTAAACGGACAACAAAGCACAATCCCAGGGTAAAAGAGGGAGGGGGCCCCTGCCAGGTAGGCTGTATGGGGCCCCATGATTACTAATAGCAGCCCTGGTTATAACAGTTGGTAGAATAGAAAAAATGGTGGTGTTGCTGTTGAGCTAGCCATACACGGTAAGATTTATAAATTAATGGATGGGGAATCTCCCATGCCGGCTGTTTTTTCATGACAGCTGGCACCTGCAGCTGTCAGAATACTTAGTGAGTTCAGCTGATTGGCTAAAATGTTGCCTGTTTCCTGGTAATTTGGCCAAAATTTAAGATGTGAGTGGCCATCATTGACTTGACAAAAGTCAGTTGATTTTTGTCAAAGAAGCCGGGTGGAAAATTGTCGGACGAATAGTGACTGCAGCCAATAAACTACAATCACTGTTTGGGTATTCTGAAAGCCGCGTGGTGACTTATTATATAGCAACATAGATACTTATATTAATATATCTAATGTATAATAAGATATATTATGGGATAAATTAAAGCTGAATCCTTCACTAACTGATATCTACATTCTTTATGGCAGTTGATGTTAAAGT